ACTAAGGAAAAGATGTTCCTTTATATAACCATCACACAGTTATCACATTTGAGAGTTACTTTAATCTATGGTACACATTCCAACTTTATCAATTATTCCAATAAATCTTTCATAGCATTTCCCTCCTCTGGTGTAAGTTTCAATTTAGGACCATGTATTGACTTTAGTTGTCAAGTCTCCTTAGTCCCTTTTAATATGGAATAGCTAGTTCCTTAGCCTTTGTTTTTTTTTTTTTTTCTTTCATGACAGTTATTTCATAGAATGCTCCTCAACGTGGGTTTAGCTGATGTTTCCTCATGATTAGATTCAAGTGATGTTGTGTTCTTCTCAGAGTATCATATTATAGGTATCAAAGTGTGCCTAGTTTGTCCACTGTATAGTTACAATTTTCCCTTGCAAAAAATGTATGACCTGTGGGAAGATATTTTGAAAACATAAAAACATCCTGCTTCTTATAAAACTGTCTCCCACCCCCCAATTTCATTGATGATGTTTGCCCAAACCAATCTTTACTATGATAGTTTCAAAATGGTGATTTCCCAACTCCACCTCTTTCTGAATTTATCACTGGGAATTCTATTTTAAGGAAAACAACTGTCCCGTTTCCCCCATCTCTCTGTCTCTCTGTCTCTCTCACATCAGTATAGACTCATGGGTTCTTGTTTTATTCAATGGGCTATAATTCATTACTGTTCTTATATTGGTACTCCAATTATCTCACATATGTCTAGTGGGAGGCCCTTCAAACTGGCTCCTTTTGACATGCCCCCATTTTATTTTCTGAGCACTTCCTTACTTTCTGGCACAACAAGATGTTCCAGCTCATCATGTACATTCCTGTCCTATCCCTGAAATCAGCTATTTTTTCAAGAAGCCCTGGTTCCTTTTTGTGGATAGAGGTTATTTTAGAAATCAAGATCTGAACAGAAATTCTTTAATTTTGAAGTTAGTTTATTAAGTTAGTTTTAATCACAAAATTAAGAAGGCTATATTTCATCATATTTATTGCTGATTTAGCCATCCTCC